AAAACGACAGAGTTTGAATTTGTTTTCTCCCAAGAACGTTTTAGTTATTTGAAAACTACAGATGGGGTTCCATGGGAGAAGGTTACTATTCAAGAGGGGGTTTTATGAGATAGCCCGAACTTTAGGGGTTTTTGTGAGATAAAGAAAGTTAAGGGGTTGTGCACAACTCCCCCAAGATTAATAAAACAACTCGTATTATCGGTTCCTTGTCTTTTATAAATTCAGTATCAGTATAATGAAAACACATATGTATAGCATATGGATAATTATGAATAGTTATGATTTGATTAGTATTATTAAAATTTTAATTACTAGCAATTTCTAATTATGAGTGCTTCTAAGTTGAAATAGGATTAGATACCGCACGTCAATAATAAAGCTAATATATAATAAATGAAAGAAAAAGAGAATTAGAAAAACATGACTATGAAATTTTATAATTATGAATTGTTATATGATTTAATTCATTTTTTATTATGAATTGTTATTTTTTTATTATTAAAAATTATACCTAAGTTTAAGAGTCTGTTTGGATTTGTAGGGGGTGAAGGGAAGTTAAGGGAAACTAAGTGAAGGAAAGAGAAGGGAAGGGAATTCCCTTCCCCTTGGTTACACCCTAATTTGGACGGTAACAATTTTTATACTATTAGGGGGTGAACCAAGGGGAACTAAGGTGAATTAACTTCACCTCCTAAGTGTTCCCAAATAAGATGAATGAAGCTGAATGGTTCCCCTAACTTCCCTTCACCCTCATTCTCCTCAATCCAAACAAGCACTTAAGTCAGTAGGATTTAGTTGTGCCCCAGAGTCGGCAGGGGCGTAATCGTAATATACTTTACAAAATGACCCGGTGGTAAATAAAAGGGCAGATCTTTTCGGGGAGCAGCAAACCCTATTCGGAGCTCCGATAACAGAGAGAAAGAGGCCCGATCTTCTTCTCCCGACGGCAGAGCGAAGAGGAAGAGATCCGACCTTCCGATAGCGTCAATGGCTCCCGAACCCGAAGAGTTGAACGAGAAGAACCCTCCTCCCCTTGACGAGGACGATATCGCCCTTCTCAAAACCTACGTAAAGCATTTTCTGCGCAATTTTTATTCGATCTGTGTTTCTTTTTTTTGTCTCGGATGTTGAGGGTTTTCTTGATCTTGGTGCTCGATTCGGTTTTTTTTTTATGTTCTTTTTCCCTCCCACGGTAAAAGGGGTTTCATTTTCACTTGTTGTTATGATGGCCTCGATTGATTGATTGCAGGGGCTCGGGCCGTACTCGGCGAGCATCAAAAAAGCGGAGAAGGAAATAAAGGAGATGGCCAAGAAAGTCAATGACTTATGCGGTGAGCGCCTCGTTCATTGATTTTCTTCCTTTAAAAAAAATTTAATTTATTTAGCACCAAATCATTTTAAAGGGAAACATATATACTCGTTATGCATAAGTGTTTCGTAATTAACGATGAAGTCCTTGAAAGACTATTAGTTAGTTAGTGGCATGAAAGCAGTACAATTGCTTTCTAGTCTATACCTCAATTTCTGCTGTTAAGTAGGCAACGCGGTTTTGCCGATAACATGCAAACATAATTACATTTATTTGTGTTTTATGCTTGTATGTGTGTTGCCGCCGCCGCCGCTGTTGTTGTTGGGGTTACCGGAGTTTGTATTAGCGTTGTGAGTAACGAGGTTTCTGCACCTTGTCCTTGACTTGGGGTAAACAGACAGGGTCAATCTACTTGAGTCCTCACACACGTGCGGTTACATATGTTCAGACGATCGCAGAAATCAATAGAGTAGGTTTCTTTATATGTGTCTTGGATGCAGCAGGCTGACTCCCTTTCATATCCTTCTTGCCTCACAAACAATAAAAGGCAAAGGGCATATAAGTTTCTCTTTATCACAGGGATTTATTGAATTCTTTGGGTTAAGAAGAGAGTTGGTGGTTCAGTATGCTAGTCATTCTAAAATGAGAAATTTTGTTTTGACTGCTTTTGCAAGGTGACTCCACAAAAAAATAAATTTTCATCTATAGGAGGAGCTTACTATGGCGATATGTATAGTATCATTAAAATTTTAGTGTAATTGTACTTTTCTAGAGTCTGGTCGATTTAATTTCTGTCCTGTGAGTGCTAATGACAATTGAAGCAAATGAAGGTAATTTTACGAACCCTCTCCTTATATTCTGATTGGCATCTTTTTTTTTTGAAAGCAAATCTTTGCTCATGTTGATCTTCCCTTTTTCCCCCTAATAAAATCCGAAGTCCCGTCATTCCTTGTTTTTCCTTTTATAACATTGAAATGTGTCTAATTGAGTTCCTAAATCAGGCTGCATTTAGTGAGCACAAAGTACACATACAATTTGATTTACTGGTCCCATAAGTTTGTTAGGCTTTCTTCTTGTCCTTACTTTATTTTATTTAAGATCATCCTACCCCGGTACCGGGATTATTTTAACACTTGTTTATAAAAATCTCCTTGAAAATGTAAAGACGGGTCCATTAAACTTTTGTAGCCCCTACTTTAATCCTTTGCTTTGTGACCTATAGGATCACAAAGGAGTGACCATTCTGGGATGCACTAAATAAGAATACTTTGGTTCTGCAGAATTCTAGGAATAACATGATAGTAAAGAATCTTATTTATATTTCGTTAAATAATATGTAAAAACTAAGAGTAGATTTATATATGCATTTTTATTGTAGACTATAGGACCCCTTTGTGAAAAGTCTATGATATTTAAATTATTTAAAGGGACAAATATACTTCTTAAAAGCTTTACTTGCATACTATATATTTGTAAAACTTGGATTAATTGAGAGGCTCAAGTGACTCGAATTGTATCCTGCAAAGTATCTGCCATGAGCTTCATCTTTGATGCAACTGCTTTTTTATTTACTAGTTGAGATGCACGTGCAATGCACGTGGTTAAATATCATGTTTATTTAAATTAATAAAAATAAAATTAAAAAAAATACAGTTTTTTTGTGGGATTGATCATCAACTCAATAATCTCTCTCAACTGAAATATCATCGTTGTTTCCTTAAACTCAGACTGTGGCAATGGATCAAACATTTAGTGAAGGTAAGCAATGGATCAAACATATAGACATAAGCTAATGGATCAAACATATTGAAGGTAAGCAATGGATCAAACATATATACATAAACTAAAAATTCAACATTTGGACAATGAAATTACATTTAGTGATTGATTGGGTGATAGTTCACTGGTTGCAGCTATAACATGATCGATCAATCAAATATTGTCACAAGAATAATCCTTAAAGTAATGTTTGATGATGTGGATATAAATCCAAGCTCATAGCATTAGATGCTTGACTAAGCCTTTGCAATACCTAATGTGTGAGTACATATATTCACACATGAAAGTTTCAAAATCTCATATAAATTCCAAAACACTCATTAAACTTTGTCCTTCCCTTTAAATATCATCTGCTATCTTTAGCATTCTCTGCATTAAACCACCCCATTTTATGCTGAAGATCCACAAGAGAATCACTTCTTACCTTTGCCTTTGAACTCTTTTTTAGGTACTTTTTTGAAAATTTTAAAATTATAGATTTTCAAAGTCCCATTTGTATCTTTGATTTTTTAAAATTTTTTTTTGTAGGATCTTTATTCTGATTTGTGAGCGGATCCTCTTAATTGAATTGCTAACCATAGTTGCATACTTTCTTTTGAGTGCCATTGACTTTGAAAATGTCTTCAGCTTGTTCACACAACCGCTACCTGCACCCAAATTAAGTGGACATCATTAGAATATATTGCTTTTCCAAAAACAAATGTTTAGGTTCAATATCTTTCATTTATTTTTAATTAAGTAGAAACCATGGTTTGATTTATATATGAATTAAAATATTTTAATCAAGTGGGATGAGTGTACTCAAGTTTGTTTTTGTATCCCAATTAGAAAAAGTGGGATGGGCGAGCTCAAGTTTGTTTTTTGTATCTCAACTAAAACAATGGAATAACATTTTACCTACAGGGCAAGGAGCTTTGACTTGATCTTATCCATTAAAACTTTCCATTTAATAATAAAATTATCCTTCCATGAAAATACTTATTATACCAATGAACATGTTCATCAATCATTATAACAAACTGCAAACTAATTTAAAGTTTGTGACAAAGTTCTATATATAAAGAATAGATAGGGAGCAAGTAGTAAATGAACATTTTTCTTCTTTGTTTTATTTCTTATCTTATAACCATTTTTTTCTTATAACTTAATGATATGTGAGGGCAATCTCTCACTTGGCACTTTCTTGGCATCTTGAGTTTTTCCTATCCTTGCATTTCACAACACCTGCGGTTAAGAATGTATGTTAGCACTATAATGCAAGTAACATGTTCAGAAAGAAATGGCTCAGATAATATCATAATGGTGTGCTCTATCATATTGTATTTCAAGATAATATTGGATATACTACACATTTGCCGTTGGCAATAACTGAAAATAGCCATTGCTTATTCCAGGAATATTTTTTCTCTAGAACCATGTTGATGGAAATCAGACTTTGAAGTTGAAGGTAAAACTTTCGCGTCAGATGTCCATATAGTGTGTTTGTGATTCTTTAATAAGGAATATAAACATAACTCTAGTAAGGTATTTGTGCTTCTAAGAGTATGAAGGCCGTCTAACTCAGAGCCTTCTTTAGTGGACAACGAGCAAACCTAGTCATCATTTGTCATATAAGGAAGGATAAGGTTTGATTTAGTGGACAACGAGCAAACCTAGTCATCATTTGTCATATAAGGAAGGATAAGGTTTGATAATCCTATATTATCAGCATTCAGTAACAATAATACCTTAATTTGTCATATAAGGAAGGATAAGGTTTGATAATCCTATATTATCAGCATTCAGTAACAATAATACCTTATAAAAGTCAAGCAATAATATAGTTCATAAAAAGAAACATTCATGACTATATTTTAATAAAAGATATCTAGCAACATATATCACTAAAAATAAGCTAAAAACATAACAGAAAGTAAAAGAGGGAAAGACAAAAGGATACTCACCTATTAAAATTGGTGAAAAGGCCGCATTAATATCAAAACCTTTCTGATTGTTATCCTCAACTACCAAAAAAAATTCTTTAAATATTAATATCCAAATCCTCTTAAGTGTTATTTTCAACTTTCAATCCCCATATCACATCTACAAACAAAAAGATAACAACTTTCAATCAGAAAGATAACTTCAAAGGAAAGAAGCTTAAAATAGAAAGAAACAAAGATATTAGCGTAATCAAAGAAAATTGAGTAACGGTTGATATCGTAAGGCGATGCAATGAACAAACTTGACACTACTTAATGAAAATCATATATTAAAGGTTTCAAAGTAACATATGAATAGGTGCATCATTAGTTCATGAAGTATGTTAACTTTAAAATTTGCACATAATAGGAGAATAAATAAGAGGCTTTATAGTGCCTCAAAGGGTACAACAATATCAGTAAACCGTGCTTATTGAACTCCTATAATGTTTGGGGTCCGGATTCTCTATAATCTTGATTGTAGAGAGTGATTACATGCTACAATTAGTTAGATGGGCTAGTATTATTGGCTTATCTTAGTGAGCCCTACAATTAAAAGTATTTTAATATTATTTAGATAATTATTATCATTCAAGGGGTCCACTGTGAATAGGTGCGCAAGAATTAACAAAGATCATAACACTTTTGCCATGCAGTTCATGTAACGGATTAAAAAACTTTTCGTCATCAATAAAAAATAGATGAAAAAAATAAACAGACGCTCCCATTTTTAATTAGTGAACCCAAAATATACTTCTTGAATGCTTCAAAAGCTATTGCACCTAAGTGGTCACTGGGGCAATGCTAACTTGAATGCTAACTTGTAAATGGACTTCCCTAACGAAGATAAGAAAGCAAGATATATCCTCTTTATCATATTATGAAGACACTCCAAAGCTTAGTCATACCGTTTCATTCCAATATCTCTCATGCCGCTGCTACAAAAGAGGAGCAATGTATAAGTTATTAATATAGTGGAAGCATGTACTACTTGGTCACGTACCAACAAAAAGAAGCATATTGTGTTAAGCATATTGTCGAAATTATAAATCAACTATCTTGAGAAATATTAAGCACGTCAAAGAGAAAATAGATGTTAAGCACAAATTTACACGCTCTAAATAGAATACACTATGAATGAATAGATGTGACAATTGTTCTCATTACAGGTACAAGTACAAAAGTATTGACAGGGATTTAGAAAACTATGGTTTGATTTCAATTCAGGTTGTGAGCATCCATTGTCAAGGAGTGTCAAAATACACACATGCTTCAGTGCCTTCTTATTTTTATATGTTAGATATTTTTCTCGATTCGATAAGAAATATTCACCCCTTTCACAAAAGGTAGAGCAATCATATCTCCGATCTAACATAGATTTTGGCTCAAGTCTAACAGTCCCAATTTGAATTCTATCTAATTTTAAAATGGAGAAAAGAAAAGATTAGTAAACACATTTAAGAAATGTATCAAATACAGCACGTCTTACTTGGATATATATTTCTCTATTTATAGACTACAATAAAATAAACAAAATTGTAGAACAACACAATTGGAATAATTATATTTATAACAAAATCCTAAAACTACTAATATTTAAAAAAACGAATCAACTATGATCATCCATGACATAAGAAATCAAGAACTCCAAAAAATACAAAGAAAAAAGTTTAGAGTCTTACATTGTGTCATTGACTGTTTGACAATTTTGCTCAAGCCTAAAAGTCTATGATACCTAAAAATTGTGTGTGTACTGCTTGTAGTAGACCCCCCAAAAAAAAGAATAGAAAACCTCACTACATTCATGAACAATCTATAATATCTTGCATCTTAATTCAAAATACTAAAACTTGACCTAATAATGAGTACAAGGAATATGGTCGGTAGATTATATCAAAACAATAAAACTTGACCTAATAATGATATTCAAGAAAAACTTACCACTAAAAAGTTTTGGAGACATCAATCATTGACAAGCGAATAAGGAGATCCTCACCCTTTTTCTAGAGGGAGCACCGTCTTCTACGTGCCCCCTAGTTCTCTGCTACTGAGGCCTTAAAAAATCCACATAAGAGAAATATATAAACTCAAGATTGGTCTTCTCGAAAAATCCGGTGGTCAATAAAGTTAAACAAGGATTTTCAAGGTTCATGACTTAGAACCACCAAGAAATTTCCATCAAAACCCTGACAAGATGATATCTTTCAGCAATAAAACCAAAAGGAAAGTTGTCCTTCAAAAAAATAGTGAATTTATTAGAAAAACCTTACCAGTGAAAAAATATTTGTGCCTCATCCTCGTCACGAACTATAAATTAGAGAGCATGTATGTTGCACGTGCTGCTCCTTCTCAATGTCACATAGAGCTAGACCATAAGTGGTTCAATAGTTTGATTGTGGTGATTTCTTTGAGAACATCTATATCAGTATATCCTTATAGAGTACCTAAGACAATCAGCAAGACAACACAAATTTTATAAAAAGAAACCTACATATCAAAAATAGGGGATACACATTTCCTACAACAGCAATATTAGTATCTCACCAAGTTAGAAATCCAAAATATTAAACATAAAGCAAACTTAGTGTAATATTATAAGTCCTTAGAGCATCTCCAACCCAACTCCAAAAACCCAAAATGGAGCAAAAACTACACCAAATCTTCCTCCAACCGGACTTCAAATTCAGCACCATTTTGAAGATGTGCTACAGTGTTGCGCCAGATTTGGTGCAGCACTGTAGCTATGGAGATTTTGGGTTTTCCCAAGTTTGCCCTTATTGTTTGTTATAACAAATCAAATATTCCAACTATATCCCATTTTATAGTTTGTAAATAAAATAAATATTCTTTTTTGTGTAAAATTTGGTGTAATGGTTGGAGATGAAATAGTGATTTGGTGTAAAAACTACACCAACTTGGTGTAAAAACTACACCATTTTGGGTTTTTGGGTTGGAGATGCTCTTACAAGTAAAAGCAGGTTCTACAGGAACAAAAAAAGAAAAATTACATGGCATAACAGATTGTAGATTGCTAAGAAAACTAAGAACAATATGTATGAAATTTAAATTTCTTTAAAAGGTGCAACATATTTGAAACCTATTCTTTGAGGAGATTCTCCAGCTCTGGACATAGGAGATATCAACAACTCAAACTAATTTATCACTCTACTCAAAGTAGTTCCTCACATCACATATAATTAATGAATGCCTACAACTAATTTTCAAATTCCACCAAAAAATCATTAAAAGTGTAAGAAATTATACAAAGTAAAATAATAAGACTATATCGGAAGAATCACAAGTTAACCATTTTTTAAGCAACGAGACAAGATAATAGAAACGTCAAGTTGCAGTCATCGACCCGTTTAAGGAAAGGAAGGAACTGGCCATTCCCAATGTTTATATTTGCAGAAAAGAAATTGATAGAAATTTCTATAAACAATTAAATAATAAAATAATAAGCATAGAAGGATAGAAATTTCTATCAACACAGTGATAAAGGCCAAAACAATTAGTGACCAATAGTTAAGAAGACAACCCACTGTGCCTGCATTGGTATAACCTGAAAATTCCATGTATATCAATAGGTAATAGAGATTTAACTTTGAATTTTCTTTTATGTTAAAATCTAGCATAAGATTTATTGCAATACCAAGTTTCACAGGAGTCAAATACCAAAACCATAAAGGAAATGTCTAGTAGTGTTTAATTGAAACCAAATCCTTTGTTCTGGAGCAAAATATCACGCAGTGTCTAACCAGAACTTCTTGCTAACATTAGTAACTAACATTACTTTCTTAAGAGCTTGTTTTGGTATCACATAACCCTAGTCCAAATAGCCCCATCACTTGATTTTATGATGCTAATTTGTCTTCTTGTCAATTTATGTAGCATATGTGAGTACTTCAAAACTCAAAATTACACAAACCTCCAATAGACAAGCCATACCAGAACACTACCCCACTGTTACTTTTCTTTTTGAGGAATAGCACATGATGCCTGGGAAATCCTAGATTCAAATTGCTAAATACCTACATCGTATTATAAGCTCATCAAAATAGTTAAGCTTACTTCGAAGCACCTCTGCAACATCTAATGGTCTTTTGCTTCTCTAGCAACTGGGGTATTAACAAGAAACAAGATGAACACACAAACAAACTATTAGTGCAAACACAATAATCTCATGAAGAAAATAATTAGTACTAAATTAATAATATGCATAAACTTGAATGAGGAAAACATAGATAAGACAATTGATAAAACATAATCAACAAATGATATTGTAATTCACTTACATTTATTACATCTTCAAAACTATTCTGGAACTAAAGGATATAGATCCATACAACACATTATTTGTAGAATGATATGTATACATATCATATTTTTCTCCAAATTAAAGGATAACAGAGGTAGCATGTCTACACTGAGATGCTATTTGTTGTATTTAGGAATCAGGGGGGCTATGAGCAAGTTGGTCGTATAGCTCTAGTTTATAGTCAAGTTAATGCCCCAGAGCTTTACTCTACACCTAATGAGGAAGATGAGGGAGATAATGTGGAAAATTGTAGCTCAAGTCAATGAGTTTTTTGCACTAAAGTTAACCAAGAGTATAATATGCAAACAAATAAACTCACATTTATAGAGCAAGTAGTCGAGCTCCAATTTTATAGAATTTTTTTGCAATGATCCATTGAAGATCTTTTCCTTTTCAGAGGAAATGTTAGAGAAACTTTGCAAGATGAGGTTCGGGTTTCAAGTTATTGGGTATATAAATTATGTTTGTCAAATTTAAACTGACACATACCATTAGGTCCATTTGTTCTGTGGGTGCATATTATAGTATATATTAAAGTTAACACCAAATTACGAGCTACAAACTTTAGAATTACCAGTCTTAGGCTGAAGACTCATTATTGAGACCCTTTATTGTGATTTGCTTACTGATCATGCATTGTTCATAAGCTTAGAAGTGGTCATTTCACAAACAAATCTATAATTATCATTCATTTTATGAAATATGTAGCTAAATGCTTTGATTAATAATGAATCATTACTCTTATCATTCTTGCTATGAAAATACTATGTATTTCTTATAGACATCTCACCCTACATGTTACTTGTTGTATTTGGTGTATTACTTATCTAACAAATTTTAGATTGCAATTTAAAACTCTCAATCAACTTGCACAAGAGCCATAAATATGAATCGTAATGGATAACAAGAAAAACACATAGATTAAACTATTAATTATAGCTTTCTCACCTGGAATTCGAGGAACTGGTTCTTGACGAAATAGCATCATGAGGCTAGATTTCCCCGCTCAATCTGCAAACCAACCCCCCTGCGGCAGCCTGAAACACAAAACACAAATAAGAACTTGCATAACATAAGTCTAAATGCAAACCAGTTGGCAAAAGTAGAAGTATCCAATTATTAGACGGAAAATAGCTGCTAATAGTCATTCAACCTCACCTATGACGTCCTTTATCAGTTGTTCGGCCTTGATGATATTTTTCATGGTTCCTGTCAGTTCAACAGGTCTTGTGGATAAATTTGGATTAGCTTCAACATCTCTTGTTATTTGAATTCTTGCACCTGAATTGCTCTGTAACAACCTGATTGTCTCCCCAGATTTACCAATAAGAACACCCACCTACATAAGAAATATTACTCAATCAGCAGAAGCTATCCTTCAACTTTTGACTCTATTTACCACATTATCAACGTAAAAGAGAACATATATAGGACTTCACAGAGGGTAGAAATTGTCCCAATTCATTTATCTGAAATGCTGATGTGCAAAGTGAATGTGTTTCAATATATCTTATGTTCACTTTGGAATTTTCTTTTTATTTGTCATTATCTGTATGCTCACTCCATGTATGACCGCTCAAGAGATCCCAGTAACACAACTCTCACACACTTTAAAATGTACAGGTTCTGGAGAGTTTTATATATTCTCTCTTATGTTATGCCTTAAGAGTGTTGCTGGAAGCAGACATTTCGAAGGGCAAATAAGACCCAGCAGAAGGACAGAACCCTAACAATAAACAAACCATGCTATAAAAATAGTTGCCACCTAACATTCTCCCAACTATTTGATCTCAGGCTTATGTATCTTCTTCAAAACCATGTCCATTTTGCGCATGCTTTTATGCTTGGAAGCTCCAAGGATTTTGCACATTTGTCAAATAATCAAAAGAAGCTCTATCTCACCATACTATATGAAAATTTTAAGATGTGTTTGAAAAAAAATACTCCAGTGTCATCAAAAAGACTTGAATGTTAACAAAATTCAGTATTAGGTAAACTTGTGTAAGGCAGCTCCAAAGATTTTGCACATTTATCAAATAATCAAGAGAAGCTCTATCTCACTATATTGTATGACAAATTAAAGATATGTTTGGAAAAAAATACTCCAGTGTTATTAAAAAGGCTTATGGGTTAACAAAACTTAGTATTAGATAAACTTGTGTAACGCATAGAATACCTAGTGGAATTAAAAAATGAAAACTTAAAAGAATGATGTTTATTAGCAAAATGGAACGGAATTGTAGCATCCTGAAGTATATGAAATGGAAAAATAAAGAAAAATGTTAATTAGTTACTATGCACATATTACTACAGCACTGCCACAAAACACAACTAATTTTTATACATAAGAAGCAAAAGTTAATTCCATGGATTTGTCTGCCAATTCTTAGCTAGTATATTTTCATAAAATGGCACATAATCAATCACCTTATTGCTAGGGACTTAAATTTTCCTTGACGTCTCCTGTTGTCCTGTGAAAGAAAGACTATGTTGCTGAGAAAGATCTTCAGTAGATTTTTTAACAGCCTCAACAGGTTCAGATGTGGCTTTCTCTGTATGAGGATGTTGGTCATTGCCTTCCAGTTGGGCATCTTCTTTCTGGACATCTTGGCCTCCATCTGCACCTAAGAAAAGAAGATATCAGAGTAGATAAATATTTCCTCCATTTAATTAGCCAATAAAATATTAAAATATAAGTTTTCATGCTTATCAACAGGTCCTGCTTGCAAACAACAGGTTATATCACACACATGAAGCTGATAATTAGAGACTAAGCAAATTACTCTAATATGCAACTTGCTATAGGATTATGCGTTAAGATAAAGACAAAAGCCAAAATTACAAACACTGAAATTAACAATATAATAAATGCATCAAGTCCCTGAAAAACAATGCCAAAATCATGAACAATCAAGAATCAGGCACATTATGCTTGATATGTAAGTGTATCATGCACAAAACAAGTTACAACCTATAGAGATTCATGATACCGATGGGCTAAATCCTACGGAAACCCTAACCCAGAAAAAAAATACCCTAGCCGAGAATCCAATAATTGAATGGGAGGGAGAGAGATTACCCAATCCATCGACACCTTCATCATTAAGGCGCTGCCTCTTCGCATCGACGCCATCTTCAGGCTCAGAGGCATTAGCCTCCGCATCATCCTTCTTCTGGCTGGCTTCAACATCGCCTCCCTCTTCCTTCTTCTTCTCGTCCTCGCCTTCGAGATCCTACAACTTTCGCTTGAGATCTGGAGCCAAGGGAGGAACCTCGCTCGTCGCTTTCCCTTCTTCTGATTCTTGCTCATGCGGAGCATCGGTGGGTTCTTTTGGGACCGATTCTTCTGGAGGAGCGGTGGTTTCTTCCGCCATGGGAGAGGTCTCCACTTCTGTTTGTGGTGGGTATTGCGCTTTTCCGTCCGCCATCAGAGAGCTTTCAGGACAGAGGGAGATGTAGGGGATTTGGCTGAGGGGAGATGAGAAAAAAATGAGGTCTAGGGTTAGGGTTTTAGAGCTGTGCTGGGTGGGGTTAATATTGATGTGAGAGCGGGTGAGATATTTCTTTTGCTAAGAGACGTGAGTATAGAAAAATCAGAAAAATTGGATGAAAAATTAGAGAACTTGGATGAAAAATTTTGATATCAAAGATTTGAGGACATTAGGAAAGCTGAGAGGGTCGACTCACGAGCTCAGCATTGAGATTGTTGTCTCCGATTGCGAGAGAAATCAATGGAACAAATCAGGTAAGAAATTAGGATCTTGGATTGGGATTTTGTTGTGAATTATTTGAAGACTAAAAGAGTTGGTATTTTTCTGAAAACCGGAGCGGAACCATAACCGATGGAATGAAGAACGAAAAGGACGCACGTTTAGGGCTTTTGATTTTCTGATCTGATTCCTGTGTAGCGTAAAAAAAGGGTAACTTTGTTAAATTTATGACAAGCGAAGGGTATTTTTGGGCAGAGAAAGTTTTTCTAATACTCCCTATTTTAAAAGGTAGATAGATTTTGTGTATAGATGGTTATTTCAAAATAGTTAGTCAGTATCCATATTCTATATGCAATCTGCCAACCTCTAACTTCTTGAGGTGCAATTGTATGTTGGCGTCTCTTTCTTGCTCTGAACGCTGTTGTTTGATTGATAAATCAGGAATCAAAGAGTCCGACACAGGTTTAGCTGCTCCAAGCCAGTGGGACTTAGTATCTGACAAACAAATGATGCAGGAAGAACAGCCACTTCAGGTAGACAGTTTTACTCCTATGAAGCATTGACTTCTTATGTTATGTATACCTGAATTACTTTTGCCCACACATTTGAAGTCTTGAGGAAAACATTTGTTTTCATTGCAGGTGGCAAGATGCACTAAGATTATCAGCCCAAATACTGAAGATGCTAAGTATGTTATAAATGTTAAGCAAATCGCCAAGGTATGCACTCTGTTTGATGTGATATTTTCTTTTTAATCTAATGAATGAACTGCATCTGTACGTTATAAATGGTTCTCGTATGTTAACTGTAGTTTGTGGTTGGACTGGGTGACAAAGTCTCTCCGACTGATATTGAAGAAGGCATGCGTGTCGGGTAAGAGCCAAAACTCGTAAAACTAATGCTAGAAGTGTGCTGATGACCTTGCTATCTCTTGTTGAAGCAAAAAATTTTGTTTTTAAAGTATACCCAAGTAGTGCCCAATAGGTGCAATCAATTTCACTTTACCTCTTCTTGGGGTAGTTCATTGTTTCTTTGTTTACTTGATTATTGCCAGAAATAACTTAAATTGACAGACATAACTTAAATTGGTCATTGTTTCTTGGAGTAGTTCGTTGACAGAAATAACTTCAGATGTGATTTTAATTTTGTCAAATGTGTTGACAGAAATAACTTAAATTTATACTTTTCATGTATCTAATTTATTCTTTCTTTGCTCTTCACATCTGTATTCTGATATTTATTTTAATTACTATAACTGCAAGTCATTGCTTGCATATCGTTGCATTAAATATCAGATGTTTTCCAACACATAGGGTTAATATGATATTCAATCGGCTTCCTTCTAATTTGTATTTAAGGCAGTAACAGTTCACATTTCACTGTTTGGAGTTATGTATGGCAGATATTGTTTGAGGATATCAATTAATTTATCTGTTTTTGCTTCATTCTTAATCGAATGAGGCACCAGATACTAGGTTTTAAAGGGATTAATATGAAATAGGCACTTCATGTTTGTGTGTGCTAGTGAATATATTTAGCGTAATAATGATAATAGTAATAACCACCAGTGTTCTTGTTGCTCATGTGCTGTGTTCTCTGCTATTGGAAAATATTTTTCTCTTTTGTTGTTTAAGTGCTGATCTGTGATCTTTTTCATTGCAGAGTTGATCGGAATAAGTATCAGATTCAAATTCCTTTGCCTCCTAAAATTGACCCTAGTGTTACCATGATGACGGTTGAAGAGAAGCCTGATGTTACATACAATGATGTCGGTGGCTGTAAGGACCAGATAGAGAAGATGCGGGAAGTAAGTATTTAATAGTGTTCTAATTGCCTTCAGGTCATCCTTCGTGGATGATTCTTGAGTTGGTAGTTAATTCTGAGGGTTAATGTTCATGCAATTTATTCGAAGAGTTGTATCAAGTGAGATATACTTAATTTCTACCATCTATTATTCATAAATTCAGGTCGTGGAACTACCGATGCTCCACCCAGAGAAATTTGTGAAGCTTGGTATTGACCCACCCAAGGGTGTCCTCTGCTATGGTCCACCAGGAACGGGAAAAACACTTCTAGCTAGAGCTGTTGCCAACAGAACAGATGCATGCTTCATTCGTGTTATTGGAAGTGAGCTTGTTCAGAAGTATGTTGGAGAAGGTGCTCGGATGGTCCGTGAACTTTTTCAGGTAATAAAACTTATGGCTGACCTTAAACTTTTGTACTCTCCAAGTTGTGCTTAAGAATTACCCATTTTTCCTCTGTTCATTCGCATGACAATCTTAGTTGTTGATTTAACTTGTAGATGGCCCGCTCCAAAAAAGCCTGCATTGTGTTCTTTGATGAAGTTGATGCAATTGGTGGCGCCCGATTTGATGATGGTGTGGGAGGTGACAATGAGGTTCAGCGGACTATGCTTGAAATTGTTAATCAACTAGATGGATTTGATGCCCGAGGAAACATTAAAGTTCTAATGGCCACTAATAGGTAATTCTTGCTTGTTACTCCTGACTAACTGATTTATTTCTTGTGCTATAAACTGTTACCAACTCTGTTTGCTTTTTTAAAACAGTTTACTCTTTATTTACCTTAATATAGTCCTAAAATAAGTTCTATGAATGTATGGCTCTCGTCTCATGTTATGCTTGGTCTTTATGCTTATCTTTCTAGCATGCCTGTCCGCACGCACGCAGGGGCTCAATTTTCCATTGAAACGCTTTCATCCTTGTGCTTTGATAAGTGTGGATGAAAAGTTTCTTCTTTTAGAAACACTACTTATAATAGGCCTGATTTTAACTTAACGGGCAAGCATCAGATCACTTTTTGATATATTTCTGGGGTTTATTTCTAGAATCTCACATGTGGCACTACTTATTATACCTACTGTAGTTATGAACTTATGTTGTGCGACTTGAACTTGATGAAACTTGTATATTTATGATTTCTTAGAGGCAATCAAGCTGAACTGTATGATATTAATTTCCACTGGATTCTGTCACTGTATGATATTAATTTCCACTGGATTCTGTCATTAAGTTTATGACATTGACCGAACAGATAACTGCATTGGAAAACTTCTCTTTCTCCTGATCTAATCTCTCCTACTTCAAGAACATTAACATAAAAAGTATTTTCAATCTAGTGCAAACTGGTAGTGCTTTGATTTCAAGATGGTGGTAAATCTTGCCTTCGTGTTAATCTCAGTGCTTCCTCGAAGTTCTTTAGATGTTTGCACCGCAACTGTTCATTTTATGTTTATTGAAATATCAACTTGCCTTCTGTTTTTCTAATTAATTTGTCATTTTTGCTGAATTTGATCCATTCATTTTCTTTTGATTCTGTTGTTGTCAGACCTGACACCTTGGACCCTGCACTTCTACGTCCTGGGCGATTGGATCGTAAGGTTGAGTTTGGTCTTCCTGATTTGGAGAGCCGGACACAAATTTTCAAGATCCACACGAGAACAATGAACTGTGAAAGGGATGTTCGATTTGAGCTCCTTGCACGACTCTGCCCCAACTCTACTGGTAAGTAAACCTTCTATGCTTTCACATCTTTCCTTTCCTCCTTATGTTAATGTTCTTAGTTCTTGTTGACATTTGAGGGACCAAACCTGTTATTGGGGTTACTGCTAGTTACACACGAATTTGCATCTGTTTTCTTTATCAAACTTTGTATAGTTCGTTGCTTTTTATTGATTTAATAACTACGAAGCTAATATGACACTTCATTTTGCACGGTTGATGTGTTTAGACAATTCCATGTTAACTCGTAATTGTTGGCATTCAATTTGAGCCGTATTTTTTCCAATGTAGGAGCGGATATAAGGAGTGTTTGCACTGAAGCCGGCATGTATGCAATTCGGGCAAGAAGGAAGACAGTCACAGAGAAGGACTTTCTTGATGCTGTTAACAAGGTCATCAAAGGGTATCAGAAGTTCAGCGCAACACCTAAGTATATGGTGTACAACTGAGTTGTGCCGCATCTTTTCTCCATGGACTGCAGGGAAAGGCGTGACGTTACTACAGTCGGGGATGGATAGATATGTAACTTTAAAACTTGTATTTTGACGTGTGTTTGAGGATTGCGTAAATTGATTTTATGTTCAACAGGGAACCATATACCTTCAAAAATGTCATGTTGATTAGTTTGCCTCCTGATTTGTGCTTTTTAGTTCTTACTGCAGCTTTTCTTTCTTCCGTAATCTGCTTATGCTGTCGATTGTAGGCTGCAGGCTTAGAAATAACTCCTTGGACCTCGCATCGCCGTTCTTTCATGAGTGCAAATGTTCTTCACATTTCCTCGTGATTGAAGGTGACCTAGCGCGCACACAGAAACTGTGCTCAACCTTTGTTTAGATCACTTACATATACAATGTCATATTTTACGGGATAATATCTGATGGTAGCAGTTTAAGATCCCAATCTCTCTATCAAGAAGATACAAAGTTCTAGACGAAGCGAACGGTTTATTTACTGACGCATCAGAGAGAGTCCCTCCCGTCCATCCCTTGTTTATTTTTCCAACAGATCAGATCCTCAGCAACTGCTGCTAGCAAAATCATACAATGTTTTATGAGAAATTAATGCTGGTACTGGAGTAGGGTAATCATTTAGGCCGGAGATATCTTACCCAAGAAAACTCACATGGAAGATAATCTCCATCGTCGATAACACATGCAGTTCGTAATAGTTTCAAAGCTCCCTCGTCGCAGTATTGATCTGCTTTACGCATTTCACTTGCATTCTTCATCTGCTTCCACTACGTTTGCGTTTTTGGTTAAGACAGTACCGAGAGGCTGTAGACATTAACGAGGTGTGCATTAGTTAGAAGTCAAAAGTAGCAGTCAGTTCTTTCAAGGCAGCTCTCCTCTATTTGACAGCCTTAACCCATATTCAATTAGGATAATAATGGTTATGGGCAAAGCAATAACAAATTTGCGCAAAAAATATAGCACAAAACATGCATAGACCTCTAGCTTCATATACAGTATTTTTGACCAAAATTTGCGCAAAACATATAGCATCCACATTGTATACATTGATAAAAGTTATAGATTCACAATATCACAACACAAATCCGACAAAACACACGACATCACAAAATGCTCTCAATAAATCCAAATTCTAGGAAATAAACACCGAATAATAACAAATTTAATCAATTCACAACATCACAACACAATATATATGTCACATGCATACCAAAACGGCAAAATACTCTAAATAAATCCAAATGTATCAAGTCTACTCATACGACAATATATAGTCTAAGTTAAACAAATCCAAATGTATCAAGTCTATCCATACGACAATATATAGTCTAAGTGGAAAAGCTAACCATCTAAAAGTCCGCCCCTCACCTGTTGTCTCCCTCTTCGCACTAGCTCAGATCGTCGACGGCCTCCTTCGACTTGAGCTTGTATATGCTCGCTCTCGGATTGTGTGTAGGGCTGTGATGGACCAGCTTGCTATGACGGACTAGCTTCATCGTCATGTGTGCAAGATCTACCACGTCTTCGTCGGCGTCCATATACCATATCCTCTTGTGCCATCTGCTCACGACCTTCACGTCGATCCTCATGAGTTTGATGAAAAGCTCTACGAACCCTCGCCACAGTCCGATGCAATATCGATACGTGTACTAAATCTCCTATGGCGGTAGCTATACCCTCATTTGCAATCCCTTCTATGTCGTCCATAGCGCCTATCTACAATTACATAAAAAGATATAATGATATATATAAGAAACCAAAAGCTAACAATTGATTGAAAACACTATTATAATTTTCGCAATTTACTTACACATTCTCTCTTATCTACCCCCCTTGGTACATATCTTGCTTGTTGGGAGCGAATCTCGATTTCGTTGACTGGAGGCGTGGTTTGAGTGATTATCCAACGTCTAGTGATCCCCCAATACCATCTAATGTAATTGACTTCCTCCATCTATCCATCAACACATAATATCTATCCATCAACGCATTAAGCAGTGCTCAATCGATCTTCATCCATCGCAATTTTAAGCATGTGAAAAAACCTGCTTGGGCTACTAGCGCAATGATACAAGGATCTTCAAGTGGCTAACGCGTATGTCCAAGGCTATGATCAATCATAACTAGCTCTTGTCCTCTCTGCACAACAATGAAAAAAATATTAGAATATAACAATGAATAATTAATATATGACTATAAACTTATGACTAAAAATTTATCAATCATTACCGATGTAAACGATATGCTCTCTGAACGATGGTGTGACTGATCATAGAGGACGTCATCAGTAACCGGCCGGGAAGCATAGTATATATACCTGCACATATAATTGTTAACTTATTAGTTTTTACCAAATCAATAAGACTATAATAATAATTAGCTTCAAGATATAAGAGGAAGTTGATGTCTTATGATCCGTATTGACAGTGGGATTGCAACATGTATGAAGTCCGCAATAACCAGAGATCATAAATTGGCAATTAGATTTTTTTCTAACAATTGCATTAAGCTTCCATGGACACTTTGAATTTCTATCGCCTTCGGTACTTGTATTCTCTCCTTGACATTTCTCGTTAAAGTAGCAATTTACATGATAGCTAGTTGTATTGGTTTTCACCAGCTTGAATTTGACCTGGTTCTTGATTGCCCATTCACGTATAGCGAAAACTAAGGTTTCCTTATTCTCGAAAAGATCACATTTTTTAAAAGTGAAGTCCTCGGGTCAATCGAAATTAGGACCAAGCTCAACGAACTCAGCTTGTGAGGTATTTATCCACTCGTCATTTTGAAACTCTTCTGGCAACGGTTCTTCACACTCTACATAATCGTTGTTTACGCAATATTCATCCATCCAAAGAGCGTCATCATCGGTTTCTCCAATTGCACACTGCATACTATCAAGACATTCCTCATCTTCAACATCTTCATTATCATCATCAGCATATACATCCTCATCCTCTTATATAATAGAACCAACCGGTAAATTAACTGAAACATGACCCGACACGTTGTGAAACACGTCACTTGACATTGCACCTGAGTCATTTTTTAAGTGCAAGGCACTTTGAGATAATGAGATTTGATTTTCAAGCATGCGGGAGAACTCTCTGTGAGCATATGAAACTTCGACAACCCCATGCATTGGAATATTTTCAATGAACAACTCGATTGAGATTTGTTTTGCCGCAAGTTGTATCATAATATTCAATTCTTGATCATTAGTGATCTCTACAACAATTGTTCTTTTTTTATTTATTGGACAATTACAGAAGACCTTAATGGCATTTTCGGCATGATTAATTTTAGTAACTCTATATATTTGCTCCATCATTCTATCGAAATTACAATTTCTAGATAACATGAACATTTTTCTCGAGCCTCCTTCGTATATAAGCATATTATTCATTCCAACACTCAGTTTTCCATTGAATAAGCAAATCATCGGTATTCCATTCGCCATTTTAACTGGAGAATTAAAATTCATTATATGCAAATTAGATTTTTTTTCATATTGATAATCATAATTAAAATATACAATATTAACTAAACAATATTGAGAAAATTATGAAAAAATAAGAAATTTATACTTTGATGAAATTTCCGATTTCGTCGGTGTCAGAGAGATTAAACGGCGTCGGATTTCAACAACGCCGGAGGATCTTTGGGTAAGAGAGAAATTTGAGGGAGGAATAGGTAAGTTGGGAGGGAATCAATAGAATGAGGGAGAGAGATTGGGTTTGGGAGAGAGAGATCGGGTTTGGGAAGGAGAGAGATCGGGTTTGGAGAGAGAGATCGGGTTTGGGAGAGAGAGGGAGAACGGCGGGGAATGCTGTGCCATAATTTGGGGCATAGCTAGGCTATATATAGCCCGACAAATCTAAGGGACTACTAATCCGGTAGATTTGGGCGGCACAATTTGACTCTGCCCAGCAAACCCACGGGACTAGTAGTCTCGTGGATTTGCTTAGCCGAGCCAAAATGTCTCTGCTTAACGTACGGGACTAGTAGTCCCGTACGATTCGTGAAGCATAAACAAAACATACGGGACTACTAGTCCCGTATGTTTCGAGCATGCTGTTTTTTAAAATCAATCTCTTTTTGGCCTGTTGGCTAAAAAAAGATCGATTTTGCTAAATAATTAGCAAAATGGTCGATTTTGATAATTATTTAGCGAAAAAAGTTTTTTATAAAAACAATCCCATTGCTATTTCATCCGGTTATCATCGAGTTATGGAAATTTATCTGAACCCCACAAAAACTAAAATGGCATTAGAAGGCCTACCTCCACCAAAAAGATGACCAAGAAAACTAGTTTGATAAATGTTAAAACCTTACAAACTTTGAAACGATTCTGAATTTTGGTGCACTAGAGGTGCTTAACTTCTATGGCCATAAGTTAAAAGAAAATGACAATAGATCTGTGTGAAATATTCAAACAATTTCCCTATATATAATATTCTATTAATATTAATTAGAATTACAACGAAATCTTTAGAAATGGAATTTCTAGTTAGCAACTTCTATTACTATTGATTTTTTTCTTTTTTGTTCTTTTCGTCTTCTTAGGTTCAGGTTGAAAATAGAAGAGTTAAGTCGATCAGACAAAAAATCAAAGGGGGTTCATGGCCAAGGGTAAAGATGTGCGTGAGCGTAGCTAATTAAATTCCAGCTTCTTTTAGACTGACCTGTTCCTAATATTAACAACTGCCCGCCCCCACCCCCGGGCCGGAAAAACACACACACACCGAAATAAATAAATAAATAACTAAATAGAATACAACTTTTCCTGTTCGATTCATTTACATGGAGGTAGTCTACACACTTGTACTGATAGCATCAAGAAAATTAAATCACCAAATCTCACACTAATGTACTGTGAGCTTAAAAATTTTGAAATTGAAGTTGATAACACAGAAGTTAGACCTGTAGACTTATCATTGACAAACTCAGTAATTAACTAAATGCCTCAATCTGAATTTGATTTTCATGTACCTGTCAACGACAGATGGAGACATGAAAAAAATCAAGTGCCCAGGCTGAAGAAGTGCCCCAGACCAAAGAAGTGCCCCAAAAAGAATACAAAAGAACTGACATGAGGACACATGTATCATGGTATCATCTATAAAGTGCACCAAAAAGAATAAAAAAGAACTGACATGAGGACACATGTATCATGGTAGCATCTATAAATATGGTAAGATAATAATTTGTACCTAATGAATTATGAGCTCCTATAAAGTATACCTAGTAGATAAGCAAAACTAAGTTACTCCTATAAAGTATCCCTATTAGATAGGCAAAACTAACTTTCAAATTCTTCAAAACTTCATTGAAGCAAAACGGTAACCTTTCATCCCTACGGTTTTCCCATTCTTGAAAGTTTGGAGACATTCAGTAAGGATGGTCATCCACAGAGAGCTGAACAATTTAGTTCAAAGACGTTATAAGAATTATGCCAAATGGAGTATTTCATTAACATACCTATTTCAAAGGTTGAGATAAGTACATAAATCAGAATTCTGACACCAATTCCTTTCCCAGTCTGGTAAATTTCGCCTGATGTAGACCACACTTTATAAGGTCCAACAGCAAACTGATGTAAAAAAAGGATAATGTAGCTACCCAATTCATGAATAATATTGCCGGAACACTTTGATTGGCTTAAAAATATGTGCAAAAGCTGTTCATCTGACTCAGGTCCTTGAGACATCTATATATGATAAGCAACATAATGATATCAAGAATACTTTATTCGGCGCCTTTTCTTCAATTCCCTCTTATCTCTAATTCCATCATAGAGAAGTTCATATGCAAAATATGCAATATGGCATTTTTTAATCAGTTCCTCTAGGAGTATCTTTGGTGCAGCGATTTCCTTCTTATCAGCACTAAAAATAGTATGCACAACCTCTGGCACCACACCATTTTTGACCATTGTATGAATAACACCAACAGCTTCCTTCACTCTGTGGTTCATGCAAAGACAGTTTATTACTCTTCCAAATGTTGCCATTGATGGAACAAACCCCTCACCAACCATTGCTACCAGAAATTTATAGGCTCTGTCAACATTTCCAGTCTTGCAATATCCATTAACAAGTATGTGGTAAGTAAAAGCGTCAGGCAAACAACCCTTGTTGACCATCTCACCAAAAAGTTTCTCCGCCATATGGATATCCAATTTCTCAGAATATGCACATATCATTATATTATATGTATCAACTGTAGCAGAGAAATTTTCTTGTTGCATTTTTCTAAATAATTCGTAGGCTCCTTCAAGATCGTTATTCCTGCAGAATCCATGAATCAATGTGCTGAAACTAACAATGTCAGGAGTCAAACCTTCACTAGTCATTTTCACTAGGAATTCAGAGGCTTCTTTAACTTGGCGACCCTTGCAGAGGCTCTCAATCAATATGTTATAGGTGATAACATTAGGACGACAGCCCTTTGAAGCCATTTCTTTGAAAGTTTCCATGACTTCACCAGTATTTCCAGCCTTGCAAAGTCCATTTAACACAGAGTTGTAAGTGATTGCATCAGGAATAACACCATGAGTCCACATCCTATCTACTATTTCCAAAGCTTTATGCAGCTTCAGTCGCTTACAGTAGCCATCTATCAATGCATTGAAAGTAAAAACATCAGGAAGGAAGCCCTTTGCCATGGCATCGTTCATGACATTATACGCATCAGAAGCATTCCCCATTTTGCACAATCCATTTATTATGGTGTTATATGTCCAAGTATCTGGGCTGCAACCATTCTCAATCATCTCATTCATAAGATCCAAAGCCTTCAATATGAGGCCTTGATGACAGAGCCCTTTTATAAGTGAATTATAGATAAAAACATCAGGCTTCAAATCTTGAGCCAAAGCCTCATTAAATAGCTCTACTGCACGATCTATGTCGCCTTCATCACATAATCCATTAATCAAGGAGCAGTATGTTACACGATCAGGCACGAACCCCTTGAAGATAGCATCCTTCAGAAGTTTACATGCAGCTTGAACTTGACCAATTTTGCAATACCCATCAATAATTGTATTGTAGGTAAAATCATTGGGAACACAACCTTTATTTACCATTTTGTGTAAATACTCCTCGGCCTCTACAACCTTAGAGTTCTTGCATAAACTGCATATTAATGTATTGTAAGTTATAACATCTGGAATCAAATCATCATTCATTCTCTCCAACAGAGAAACAGCTTCTGTTAACTTGCCTTCTTTGCATAGGCCTTGAATCAGAATATTGTATGTATAAGTATTTAGAGATAGACCCCTCTTCATAACCTTGGAGAGGAGCTTGCTGGTTTCTACAACCTCGCCTTTCTTGCAGAGCACATGGATTAGCTTATTAAATGTAACTATATCAGGATAAAACTGTTCCCTAAGCATCTCATCAAAAAGATGACAAGCCTCGGATTGGTAGTTCTCTTCAAAAAGACCACAAACCACTGTACAGTACGTGATTGCATTGACATCAAACCCTCTTTCTGGCATATCCCTAAGCAGCTTCAGTGCGACATGAGGCCTTCTTGTTTTACAAAATGACTTTATTCTGACTGTAAAAGTATAAACATCAGGACTAATACCTTTGTCCAACATTCTTAGATATACTTTGTGTGCTTGATCAAAGTATCCATACTCGACGAGAATGTTCATAATAGCATTATAAGATATCACAGTTGGTTGACATCCAAAAAAATCCATTCTCTCAAACGTATCCACCGCATTCTGTATCTTCCCTCTCCGCCCGTAGTTCTTCATTGCACCAATATATACTCCCTCAAGGGAAGAATTATCAAGATTCATTCTCATCTCCGAAATGACTTTCTCCATACTTTCAAATTCTCCGTGAGATCCAAGCTTTTCTACCATACTCTTGTAAGTGAAGTGGGTATGTTTAAAGCCATCCTCCTTTGCAGCTGAATTGAACATCTCGAGAGCTCGAAGTGGATCCTTCTGATATCTTACGACCGTGACTATGTGCTTAGGGAGCAAAGCACGGCTCATTACAATAACCGAACCTATCAAATATCAACTGATTCCCATAAATCTAACCGCACCACAAGATGCTTCATCAAGTTCTATTTCAGCAACCAAATCCAACCAATCCAAACCTACAGCACAGTGCAGCCGTGAGCAAATAAGTAGATGCAGTAGCACATCTGCCTGCAAGCAGAAAAACTAGTGTCTAATGCCCAAAAAAGCAAGACAACAGGGGCAGAAATTAAATGATCAAAATGGGTTTATGGTTTCAATTTTCTTATCCATCAACTGAAGGTCTACTTCTGAAGACAAAATGTTGTCAAATACAAGTACTCTCACAGGAATAAGCACAAACATATAGGGTGGGTTATTGTTTTACTCTATAGAGTGAACGAACAAACTCAAAAGAAGCAATTCAAATCAATTAAACAGAGAGAATATGTTATAGAACTGCCAATTACTAGAAGAAGTCAACTAAATTGTTGGGACCCAAGCCCCTATGTCGTCCATCAACATTTTTTTCTACAAAAATGAGCACGACCCAATTAAATTCTACGGGAAAGAACCAAGCTTTACGATCTTCAATACATAAGCTGGTCGGAAAATCTTAGAAAGGCCAAATCTTTGAAGATTATACCTTGTTATTAGAAGAGGTATTAGCTTTCCAAGTTACTCGGGGTGAGGGGAAGTGGGCAAAATCTTTGAAGATTATACCTTGTTATTAGAAGATTGCAAGCAAAGGGTAAAAGGGATGGATCATTTTCTTTTTCAACCCGCACGCCAAACGGGTCGGGTACCCAGATAAAAAAACCAAATAGTTTACACGTATAGCCCCCAAAACAGCTATATTTGCAAATATATCCCAAATCAAGATTATTGATAACTTACCCCTCAATTTTTTTTTAAAAGACCCAAATAATAAATGCTGTTAATGTTCTGGGGGCATACAGGCGAAAAGCCCAAAAATAGATAAAAGAAAGGAAGGGGAATCGACGCTAAAACCCTTGTAGATTCGAGCGAGATCGAGAGGAGAGAGACGGCGACGATGGGATCAACAACAACAGGGGAGTGGTTAGAGAAGGCGCTCTCGCAAGCGGATTCGGGCGTGGAACTGGATGCGGATCTGATTTCGGGTCTCGTCTCCTTCTGTGAACTCGCTCCTCCTCCCGATGCCGCCGATTACCTTAGCGTACGTATCATGCCCCAGCTATTTCCCTGTTCTTTTCTTTTTTAATAAATTTTTTAAAGTTTGAATTGTTTGATTGAGGGCTGCAATTTTGCGCCTTCAATATCTACGAGGTTTAGGTTGGATTAACTAGGGCAAATCTGGAATCGAGAAATTTATAATTTTCCAGAACATTTTGTTATGCTACCAAGTTATCTCGTAGTTTCCTTCAAGTTGATGTCAGTACGTTGGGCGTCTTGTTGTAGTTGTTGAATCGCGACGATAGAATTTGATAAATAATGTTGGCGACCAACAATCAGAGGATGATGGTAGTTCAGGCATTTGGTTTTTAATGGCACTGCTGCTTCCACCATCATCAAAAAATGCTGGTCTTGGCGAATGGCAGATTTACGCGGAGAAACTTGTTAATGCAAGCCAAACGTATGTAGGGACAGTGAAATAATTAATGCGTAAAATAATTTACTGTCAGGTACCTTGATAAGAGACCTAGGTGAATGTTTTACCCAATATCTAATCACTGCTACAAACTTCGAGTTTTGACGTGATGTAATAGCTTCGCTGAATAAACTAGTGAAGTACCTGAATCATAGATCTTAATTTTCTTTTGTTCAATGATTTTGCTATTTGCTTTTCTCCTTTTAAAGATCTCGAGTATTTTGATGTCGCAGAATATTATAGGACCAGAAGCTGGTCAGCATATAATCCAGGAATACCTGCGGAGAAGAGGCTACGTGGATTCCTCCACTAGCATCCCAGATGTCCAAACATCAAACTCTCAAGGATACGTGAAACCTCCTGCTGATGAAAATGGGTTTGCTGTAGCCAAGAAGCAAACGAGACCACCAAAGGCGGCAGCTGCCATCACTAATGAAACTAAGAACAAAACAGAGATTTCAGAATCCAGCAACAATTCTAGGAGAAAGAAGAAAGCTGGAAAGGCCATATCTCTAGCTGAAGCTGCGAAAGGATCGGTGGTTTTCCGACAGGGAGAGCCTTGTTCATGCCAGGCTCGACGGCATAAGCTCGTGAGTAACTGCTTATCGTGTGGCAAAATAGTTTGTGAACAGGAAGGTGAAGGTCCTTGCAGCTTCTGTGGTGCCCTTGTTTTGAGAGAAGGAAGTACATATGCTGGTCTGGACGAGATTGCTGGTCCTCTTTCTAATGCAGAAGCTGCAGCTGAAGCATATGCAAAGAGGCTTGTAGATTATGACAGGAATTCTGCTGCTAGGACCACAGTCATTGATGACCAGAGTGACTATTATAATTTTGAAGGGAATGCCTGGATGTCTGAAGAGGTATTACGTCAAGAACTTTTATGATGCCTTTTTTTCCCCAATGAGAGTTGTATATTGCAGATTGATTCTTGAGTAATATCTATATTCCATTGAAGATTTGAGTCCATATTTCATCGATCTCTGTAGTTGATATACCTTGCATAACTTAACAAACTCCTTTGATCAGTTTTGCATCTCATTCCATTGTAGCATTTCAGCTGAATTTGTTAAGACTTGCATCCATGTATTTGAATGACTAGAAAATTTAAAAGTTCTACCACTAACACAAGAGTATATAATAGTGTATGTTTGACGCTTGATATGTATCTGAAGTAGGAGTTTTGATCTTAGTGATATCTGGCAATTTAAAATTGCTACTTGTCCGTAGACATTTTTAAGATTGCAATTATAGCAGGGAGTTGGTGGGGTTAGACCATTAGCTTTAGCCTGTTTAAAAGCTGAAATGAAAACTTAATTCATAGAATTTTTCATATCCCGCCTGTTTAGTTGAGTGATGTTCTAATTAGTAACTTTTATCAGAGTTCTGAATCAGATTCCATAATTCATAAATACACTTTCTGTTCACTGATACATTGAGATGTATGTGTTATTAGGCTTTATGTTTGCTTAAAGTCTAAGTAAGTTAATGCCTTTATGCTCCAAAGAAAAGCAGGGTACGCTTTCCGAGCTCTGAAATTGTTGAGAATGTATTTTTATAACCAGATACCTTCTTGTTATTTATTGTCAGTAGACTTACTATTTGTTGAGTGTATTCTTTTTATCAGTCATTCCAGAAGTTAAGTTTGAGCAATTAAGAGAATATTTCTAACAAGTTCCATGTTCATATGTTTTTAGTTGACAAGTTTTTAGGAATCATATGCATTTTCCTAGATGCAACAAGTTTTACTGACTGGATGCTTCATTCTTGTGTTTTCAGTTGCTCGTCTTGTTAAATCTTCCACTTCTTGAGTGGCGTAATTTAGTTTGGTACCCACTATACCCATTATATAACTGATGTTCCATGTCCAGCCCTTCTCTGATCAACATATCAGCATATAACTGGGTTGTTACTTCCTGTTTATAGTGAAATCTGTTGGTGCTGCAAAAGTTGTCTGATATTTTGTATTTTGTTTACTTCAGGAGAAAGAGCTTCTTCGAAAGAAGCAAAGAGAAATTGAGGAAGCTGAGAAAGCCCGGAGATCGCAAGTGGTTGTGACGTTTGATTTGGTTGGTCGCAAGGTTTGTTCTAAACCCTCTCTTGGAAAAAAGAAGGAAACAAAATTTCCTTCACAGAGGTTTTTGAAGTTTTGATGTGATTCTGATTATTTCGCAGTAGGGGTCCTTGTTATCCTTTCCTGGTCAATTCAGTTTCTCCTAACATGATTCCTTGCTAGTAGAATGGTCACTAATTGTAGAACCCATTTATCCTGCGGTGTCACAAGCCATCTCAGAGAAATTGGACCCCTAAAAGATGAAAACATGTCCAAATTCTTCTTTCCTTTGTAACAAATAGGTGGGTTCCTTCCAATATTGAGAAGAATATTTTTCATTAAGATGGCTTGAACTTTGTGACATACTGACCCTTCTCCAGTCCCTCTTTTTTTCTTTTTTTTAATTGGCTAATCCGTTCAGGATTCTATCAATTGCAGGTGATATTGAACAAGGATGGGACCTCAGAGTCGGAATCAGAGAACAGCATTCTCAGGCCACCTGAAGAAAGAGAGCAAAACCGTATAAAGCCTAATCCTACAGTTATACAACCAGTGTTTGTTAATACCGGGCCGGCTAGGGATCAAGTTAAAGGGAAACAAAACAACAACAGAGTAACGAAGGGTTTGTGCTTAGAAATCAGCGGGAGGGTGCAGCACGAGGGCCGTGGTCGGAAGTCTGCTGTTTCCGGTGAAGGTTTGTGGCCGGATTCACAAGCCACCGGTTATGGAGATGAGCCTGGATGTTCCCTTGATTACAACTAGTTTATGTGTGATTGGCCTGAATGTTGCCCTGTATTGCAAATGAAGAAGTAGTGTCGTATGCCGTTGCGTTTTAACTCAATAGTGGTCTCAATGAGCGCGCCCAAATCTTGATCTTTATGGCGTTGATTTCTGTAGATCAATTTCGTACTAAGGTGGATCTATATTTCATTCTTTCATCGCCTTTTACTCTATTCCTTGTTGCCGCCCAAAAGGAACTGCACTGGTAGTATTCCAGTTGAGATCCTAGTGCTTTTTGAAATCAGATCCTTGTGACGGGTCCTATGAAGTTTGTGTGCGGAACCCATAATAGGTTGCCACGTGTACTATGACCCAAGCCAGACCAAGCTCACGAACGTCAATTCCGATTCCAATTGAAGTCGAATACTTGGTTAGAAACCCCTTAAACACAATTAACTTGTTACTATTCAAGAGTTTTATCAGTTAAAAGGGTAAATATCAAACAACTCCCTTAACTTTGGATGGTTATCAAATGACCCCGATTAACTCTGAAAATATAAGTAAAAAAAACCCCTCAAGTCCAGAGATCGTTAGGAAAGCCTCTTTAACTTTGAGATTTTATCAGAAAATCCCACTAAAAGTAGTGGGGTTTTCTGGTAAAATCTCAGTTAAAAGGTTTTTTTTTTGATAAAATCTTGATAATTGTCATACGTGAGTGAAGTTTTTCTGATATTTTCAAAGTTATGGGGGTTTATCTGGTAATCATCCAAAGTTGAGGGGGGTCTTCTGATATTTAGCCTTAGTTAAACATTTTAACAATGAGAATGTTGAACCATCGTCCAATCAAATAGTGAAAAATTAGTGTCTTCCTACTCATATGAACAGAATAACCTTTAGGCTAAGGCACTGGCCTTCTATTAGAATACATCATGGAATTCAAGAGATGAGCAGAATTACAATTACTATAATTATTGCGTAGTTTCAATTTAATCAAGAACCAAAAAGAGCAAAATTTTAGTTTCTATAAAAATCTTATTTATTTAATTGACGAAGTTCCAGTTCTCCCTGTAAAAATGTTTAACTAGTCAAACATAATAAACTTGACCAGAAACAAATAAGATGTCTAAAAGCCAAAACTTTATTTAATAAATCAGCGTTTTAATTAATAAGCGTTCTAAACTTAAGGGGTTCTGATATTTTCACAGTTAATTGGGTGGGGTTATCTGTTAATCATCCAAAGTCAAGGGGGTTCTCTGATGTTTACCCTTTAACTAATAAAACTCTACTTGAACAGTAACTAGTTAATCGTGTTAAGAGATTCGTAACTAGTTATTAAACTTCAACTGGAATCAGAATTGACGTGGCAATCTATTGTGGGTTCCGCATACAAAATTTATGGGACCCGTTCTGAGGTTATCTGCACTCGGGGGCAACAGGAGCTTACGTGGCACTCGGGGGCAACAGGAGCTTACGTGGCACTTAGCCCGCCAAAATGTTTAGACTTCAAGAAACCTGTTACTCTATCAGATGATCTCTAATTTGATGAGCGCATAGACATAATCATTTCATCCCACAGTCCGCAAAGTTCGCAGAACCCTGATAAACCTCAACTTAAATTGAAAAAATGAGGATGCCCTCAACTAACATACCGATGTCTTACAAAGACACAAACTCATCAAGCGTCAACCGCATCTTCAGCACCGCCTCAACACAACGGATGCATACATGGACTTTTTATTTCCAAGTAAAACTTCCACAAGTATAGCTATGTACAACATAGATAAATGTTTGAACTTGGTGAGATTTCAGAAGAATGTATACAAAAGGGGAAACGGTAGGAGGCGTCTCTAGCGGTGTCACATAGCGGACACACGCTCAAACAAAAGGCGACGGATTACTCATGTGGCTCTTGTTGAGGAGTTGTAGGGGACTCAGGAGCAATGGTGAACTGCAGACCCCTTCCCTGCCCTGACTGGAGGATGAAAGCCACTTCTCTTGCTGCTAGAGCTGCTGCCTCCTGATTTTTTTTGACAGATAATATTCAAGTCAGACACATATCAAATACAAACAAACGAGTAAATTCCGTAACTAGGAAACAAATCACGGCAGATTATGCTAACATTAGTTGATAAATAATGCTTTTTCCTGTCGTTGCCTTCGACGCTGCAGAATGCTTATGGCCCAAGCCATGATGTAGCATGGCAATAGAAATCCAGCAGCACGCAACAAGAAGAGCTGTTAATCGTAACAAAAGACTGTTAGATAATAATTTGATAACTGAGCCGAAATTCTATAATTATCATGGGAATGGACATGACGTCACTCACAGAAAAATATGCAGAGGCATCATCATCTCCATCCCCATTAGAAATGGTCAAAGCATGCCTCAACAGCAAAAGAGCCATTAACTGCAAAAGGAAACAAGAACAGTTAATACATATTATTATTATTATTATTATTACTATTATTATTAGGACTGCAAATAAATAAGACATGGCAAAGGTTGGGGGCTACTAAAATAAAGAGGCACAATCTTGCACCATTATCGATGAGAAAATTATTAAAATATCATTTCAAGTCAGACCAACATTGCAACTTCGTACACCAGTATGGCCAATATCTCAGCTCGAAATAGAGAAACATCCTTGAGAGTTCATTTAAAAATGCCAATGTCTAATATGATGAGCACACTAGTCATTAATGCATCACCAAATTACAGAGCACGGTCTGGATCCCCATCAAAAGTGGGCAAGGCCAACAAAGAGACAATGAATCTCAGTCAGTTCAAAAAACAAACTGTGATGCAATAAACTAAGGTGCTCCATCATTGACTACTCAAACCAACACCAACAAGTAATACACAGTAAATGTGTCAGTGAAAATGTCTGAACAGTTTCTCACAAGTTAACCCATTTCATTCAAAGTATATTTCAAGGTTCCCAGTCTCTGGGATCCTTGGACATTTTAACCAATGCATACTTCTGGATGCTGATTCTCACTGAGATATGTAAGGATCTATGAAATAGAAAAATGTAGAACCAATGCTGAAATGGTTCTTAATGTAGCTTGTGGACTTTATTAGATTATGTCTACAGGTTTTTTGAGCCTTGTAAAGAAAATAACATTTTATAAAAATCAAAGTGGTATGCACATCCTTGACTTTTAAACATTCAATATTTTAGTCACCAGCAAGTCCGCATGTGTTATGCTTAATCTAATTTTCAACTTTATTACATCTATAGGCTTTTTGCTCCTTGTAAAGGAAATAACATTTTATAAAAGAACACACAGAGATCTGCATGTTTGACCTTTTAAATGTCCAATGTTTTAGTCTCAGCAAGTCCGCATGGGTTATGCTTAATGTAAGCCATGCTTCACACACTTACCAGAGGATTGCGCAAGGTAGCTGACAGGATAATGTTAAACAACATTAAGAACAACAGAAGATGCTAGGATGTGTTCAAAGTGCCTAATAAGTTACACTGCATGGTTAATTCATAAAAATTCGTAAGGCACATGCCGCACATCAATTTCCATAAGATACTAAAGACATTGAATAAACAAAACTAATGAGAAAATTACACATAAACAACAACAGTTGGTAGGATGTGTTCAAAGGGCCTAAAGTTACACTGTATGGTTTAATTCATTAAAATTTTGGAAGACACTTAAACATACATGAGTCCCTAAAGAAATTTAAAGAGAAAAAATATGTACTAAAGTAATTAAATTTCCACATGTCAAAGGATCTACACCTCAATATAAACATTTAACAAACTGAAATAATACCTTCATAGACTTTAAAATTAAAATACTAACGGCTTACAATTAGAGCAGCTGAGCGGCAAAATGCAGCACCACTGGCATTTGTAGAAGCATACTCATCGTACTCAGCTTCAAGAAAATGGCGCTGCGCCGCTGCCATAGCAAGGATTCGAGGATCACGCAAGTCCAGTGGAGTACCAGTGATGGTCCAACCTCCACTGCGAATATACAAAAAAAAATTGAATCTTATAATCATATTATTAGACATGAGAAAACATTGCCCAAATCACATATTAACTGAAAAGATAAACCAAGCAAGTATACAGACATACCTAATATCAATTGTAGTCTCATCTGGGTTAGGTCGAGGAGGTGCAGTATAGTCTGGCTTGTATGGCTGAAAATCATGAAATTAATAACTAATTATGATCAATTCCAATTTTAGCAATATCCTTGCACAGCGTATCAATTTAAAAATATTGACAGCAAAAACATTAATAAGAAACCAGAATTAGAACTCACCTCATGGCAAATCTCACACATTATGTCTCCTTTTAGAATTAGAACTCACCTCATGGCAAATCTCACACATTATGTCTCCTTTTTCATTGCACCAACGCTGCACACATGCCCTATGAGCATACTGAATCTCACACATTATGTCTCCTTTTTCATTGCACCAACGCTGCACACATGCCCTATGAGCATACTGTAGGTACCAAATTTGTTAACATCAATATCCACAAAATAATGATGGACCAATAAGATGCATCTTTAAGCAGAAACTAAATGCATGACATATATAATATGATTGGACACCAGGATCTTACAGTACGTCCAACCATAGAAAAATCCAGATTTCTACTTTACAAAACAGGTTTCATCAGGAGGATTGACAGACATATACTTCATCAGTAAAATACATAGGATACGTGTGTTCGACATGTGTGTCCGACACGGACACGACACGACACGGCTTCATGTTATGCGTGTCCGTGCTTCATAGATACAGATTATTACTTTATAAAACAGGTCTCATCAGGAGTGTTAACAAACATATACTTCATCAGTTAAAAAAGATATGGTGATGGAATCAGAGAGAACAATGACAAAGTACGTTCAATAATCTAAGAGCTTAAAAAGCATAAACAGCATGAAAATACACTGAAAAATTCAATCGGTAAAAATGTTAAAAAGGGAAGAATAGATTTATACTAATCACCTCTCAATAACAATTCATATCATGGCTTTAACTCAGCACCAAGTTCGCTCAACAAGTTTCAGGTAGTGAACTGCTTAATCTGATTGACAAGATTTTTTTTTATTGTGCGCAAGATCAAACGATAAAGAAGAATACAGATGGCCTATATTTGAAATATATAATATAAGAAGTTTATGAAATTATGTGCATACAATAAAGGTTTTGCTGCACACAAGCTATATTTCACATATGACATTCTTCTTGGAAAAATTTAATTAATCCCACTCATTTATTATCTCAAGTATAAGATTATCAACCATCATCAACAAAAAAGGCAGGAAAATATGAAATACAAAGATCATATCAATCATCAAAACAAAGAAGCAATAACTAAATAAATAATCCCATGTCATGACCCATGACATATACCTCCAAAAATGATTAAAATCATCAACTGCTTATAATTTGTAGTTACTTTCTCAATGCCTATCGTGTAAGCAAGACATCAATCTCACAATAAGTATTATAGAACGTTTGAAAATGGTAGATGGACCTAAACAACAAGTTGCAAAGAGTTACAAGACTTCAAACTGCCACAGTAAAAGAGAATAAAACAAAATAAAACATTAATTGGCTATCTATTTTTTATTTGGATTAGGGTTCAAAAAATAAACCTTCAGACTGCCACTACAAGCACAAGGAGTCTCCAGGTTCTTAATATGATCCTCTTCCTGGCAGATCCTACATTCTACCGTCTGAATGAGTGGCTCTTCCTCAGAGCTACTGCTATTTCCTTCCTCGTGCTTTTTAGTGGTAGAATCCTCCTTTGACGGCGCTAGAACAGAGGGGACAGCAGTGAGGGAAGAGTCTCCAGAAGAACCATCTGAACAGTCACCTATCTGTATCGTTTCAACAGACTGAGGAGTTATAAAGCGATCCACATACAACACTAGATGATCTCCCATTGCCAAAAGATATCTTTCAGACAAACTAGCCTCTGGCACAATTAACTTTAATGAGCTGAGTTTCTGCAATAAAACAAATTAATTCAGCTTCCTGCACGAACCAAATTCAGTGATGGCATCAACTTTTCAATCAAAACGCGATGAATGGAAGATACAATCAGCAGATTCATTGGACGGTGTTTTTCTGTTCCCCTTTCTTTTTATTTGACTAATATGTTGTTGGTTCCTTGTTTCCCTTATTAAAGATTAGAGATATATAGCTAAAAATCTTTCAAGCGAAAACTAAAAAACGGCTTCAGTCAAATAATCAATTCCTTTATCCAGGAACAAGAGAGAAAAAATTCCGAGTATACCACAATCGCTAATACTCGAGAGAAAAAACTAAAACTAAAACTCTAACCAAAATAAGTAAAACCCCACAAAGAAACCAAATAGTTATCCAGAACCAAAAACCATGAATTACGATGCTTTGCATTCGCAATGAAAGCATGGCGTGTAGAAGGCAAAAGCGTTCTATGTACATGTAGCCGCCAACACCATGAACAAGCATTTCCAAGAACAAACCTTTAGCCACAAACTCAAAACGAATCCTCCAGGATTTAAGTGATTATGAGACAATTCACCTACAAATAGTCCTTTGAGTTATGACAAAATCACGAGAATTTAATATAAAACCCTAAAATCTTCCAAAAACCACTAAACTCCTCCCCAAATAAATCCCTATAAGAAACCGCTCCAAGAGAGAGAGCAAAAAAAAAAAAAAGTCATCTCCTTTTCGAACGCGTGCAATGTTCATCGGACTGCCCTTACCCAAAGTTTCCCCTTTACAAGAATCCCAGCACAAAATTCCTTCAATCAGCTAATTTTTTTGGTGATGATCGACATCAGCAAGACCGCAGAGACAGAATACACATCTGATTTATTTAATAGAACAAAGGTGAAGTGAGAACCCCTTCGGAACCGCTAATAGAAACCCTAGTCCCTCAAAACACCCCCAAATCGGAAAATTACTTAACAAATTCGAAGATCTACATAGAAACCCAAAACAACCCTAAATCCACCCCCAAAATCAGCCATTTCCATTAAAAAGTGCATAAAACTATTGAAGATTTCCGACATGATCATAAAGAAATGAGGATCTAAGCAGAAAAGAGGTAATTCAGGGCGAAATGGCCTTACCGTAACCCCTGGAAGAAGAAGAAAATTCCTCTTTCGTTGTTCGATGAGGATGAGAAATGGAAAACTGATTTAAGTAAATACAATTTTGGTAACGCCCTTCTCAAGCTGTGATGACGGCCGTTAGCGTCCAGAGGCTTACGTTGACGGCCGTCAGTTTTGGTCTGTCCCCACGCGGTTACTTCCTGCCTTTAATTTAACGGTCGTCGCCTTTGGAAATGTCGGGCTTAATTAGACGACTTATTACCGCCGAAACGGGTATCCGAGAAAATAATAAAGGTAATAGAATAGGGAAAAGATATATATTATTGGATGTTATAAGGAAAATAGTTAGTGTTGGGAAGAACTCATTTCAATATTAATATTGTGCGAATTAAAAAAGTTAATTAAGCTTTAGGCAGAGTTAAAATAACTTATAACACTGAAACCAGCAAACCGATAAACAACAAACTATCAACATTTGCGGCATTATGAAGCTATAATGAGAGTATGTTTGGCAACTTTAAACTGAGCTAGGCTAGATTAATTTTTTTTTTAAACTAGACAATAGTTAAGCCATATCAGGGTGGGTTAAAAAAAATTAGTTGATGTGCAAGATTTTGAACTGGAAAAGACTAGTTTAATTTAGATTAACTTTTTGCTAAACTGAAAATAAAGTTTTAAACCAAGATGTTATACCACTTAAAATAAATTTTATGGTGTTAGGCAAACAGACCTAAGATGATATTTATGTCTATGCGCATGATCCCGTAAAAAAAACTTGGCAGGACTGGGCGAGGCTCGAATGGGACCCACTCTGACCCTTTCTTTCTTTGTTTGGTGGGCCCACACAAACAACGTGCTTGATGGATTCTGGGCTCTGGCTCCGTTTGACCAAAGGTCCCGTTTGAGACCTATTCCTCTCTCTTGGTTTGACTTTGACCCAAAGCTCACTTTTTTTTTTTGAGGAAAAACAAGGGTTATGCCCTGTCATTAATTAAATCAAAAGTACATATACAAAAAGGAAACACATGCACCTGCAAGATAAAAGAAGGTGACATTATTTTTAAGAATATGATATATATATTCCTAAATTTAGAAGTATGCTTACTAATGTTGGATATATCATATGTCAAGCCACATTAAGCCCACCACCAGATAAACAAATCCTTAATCACATGTCTTAACAATAAGTCTTGTTTTAGTTGCAAAAGATAAAAACTGTAACTACAACACGCTTCTCTTTTGGTCATCACGGTTATGTTCAACTCTCTTTTGCTTTTGTTTTTCTTTCCTTTAGGTTTGTAGTTTATTAAAAAAAAATGAAATGCCTGATACTTACATGATTCTATATTGTTGTCATGGGGTGTAATGGAAACAAAAAGCCTTTTGTAGCTCTCCTTTTTTTTCCTAGTTTATTTTCATGTATTATGCTTAGGATGTATCATATGCTGGAATTTAAGCTTATCTTATTATATCTTTTGCCTCGTGTTCTCAGTGATTGCATGACAAATAATGACTAAAAGCAAAGAATGTACATAAAGTTGAAGTGAACAGTAAAGCGTAATGATGCTTTAACGCGGTTGTGTAACTTTTTCTAGCTCAGCCTTATCCGTTCCCTTGGTTGTTTGATGCATTTAGAGCAAGTCCAGCAAGCTCCCAGTTAGGAGTCCTAGTCATCAAGCTCTCAAGAGCTCTCAAACATTTTGGTATAAAAAATTATAAAAATAGGCCTTGGGAGCATCTCCTTATTTTATGGAGCTCCAACAAGCTCCTAGTTAGGAGCTCCAACAATATCAAAAAAACCCCTCTTCTATTTTGATATTTTACCCATTACTTTTAATTATATTTAAACCACTTGTATTTTATTTCTAACCGTTGGATACGGTCTTCGAGGGAGCGCACATGGTCTTCGAGCTAGCCCGCGGCTTTCGAGGGTATGCACACGGTCTTCGAGGTAACGCACACGGTCTTCGAGGTAACTCGCGGTCTTCGAGGAAACGCACACGGTCTTCGAGGTAGCTCACGGTCTTCGAGGTTGGGCACGAACTTCGAGGTATCGCAAACTTTGACCGTCAACCGACTGATTCCTATAAAATTCGATGCCTTCTCACCTCAACCCATCGTCTCCCAGAACAAAATGTCTAGCTCATCTAGCTCTAGCGATGATGAAATGATGAAGACGTTCTTTCTTATGGGAGCTTCTGTCGTCGAGGAAGAAGAACAAGGGAAAGGTTCAACTTCAGTTCAACACAAAAGACGTATCGTGCTCCACCGATACCGACTGGAAGGCCACAATCGGTTGTTCCAAGATTATTTTGCTGACACACCAACATATCCTCTTCATTATTTTCGTCGAAGATTCAGAATGTCGCGTTCGTTATTCCTTCGAATCCACGACGCTGTCGTCGAACATGACAAGTACTTCGTCCAAAAGAGGAATGGTGCTGGACAGTTAGGACTATCTAGCCTTCAAAAGATTACTGCAGCTATGCGGATGCTCGCATATGGAGCATCCGCTGACGCCGTTGACGACTACGTTCGGATCGGTAAAAGTACGTCGCTTGAGAGCGTGAAGAGGTTCGTTCGATCGATTATCAACATCTTTGGGGAGGAATACCTTCGTTCACCGACTAATGAAGACGTTGCACGCCTGCTCGAGGAAGGCTCACAACGAGGTTTTCCTGGTATGCTTGGGAGCATCGACTGCATGCACTGGGTATGGAAGAACTGTCCAACCGCCTGGCAAGGTATGTATACTGGGCATTTTCATGAACCTACAATTATTTTGGAGGCCGTAGCTAGCAAAGATCTTTGGATATGGCCAATGAGATTTAGAGAGTTTACCATATTTAAGAGGTAAGCCGAGGTACTTGATAGGAAGATGATCAACTTTGCAATTTAAAAGGGATGCCAGAGTTTCAGCTCTTTGAGGAATATTTCCAAAATATATAAGTGAAGACTTGGAATAGTTGATACTCAAGCCAGATAATTCTTCAAAGATATAAAGAATAGTTTTGATGATGGTAATATCCTTGTAGGAGCTTTTGACAAAGAGAAGAGTATCGTCCGCGAATTGAAGAATGCGCACTTGGTTGAGAGGTTCTCTGAGACTCAAAGATGATAAAAGCTCCTCTTCAACATTGTTAATAATCATCCTATTTAGAACATCAGCAGCAATGTTGAATAGCATTGGAGATAGAGGGTCACCTTGCTTCAGTCCTCTTTTACAAGAGAAATATTTAGAAGGGGAGCCATTTACAAGAACTGCACAATTAGATGAAGAAAGGATATGAAAGACCCAAAGCTCACTTAAAAAGATACAATAAGTTTATTTGTCAATTTTACCGTTTTTTCAATTATTTAACTGTTAATATTTACTATAAATGGTTTAAAATCAAATATATTGTGTTCAGAGTGTTGATAAAAAAGCTCAGAAAATTAGACTATGAGAAGAAGAGGACGTAGGGGTGTCCAAAAAGCCCGGAGCCCGGGCCCGGCCCGGTGTCCGGCCCGGGCCCGGCCCGGTCGTGCCCGGGCCCGGGCCCTTTGTTTGAGAAGAAGGAGCTGGTTCAGGAGATGCCACGTCCAGCGAACATCTTTATTCGCCAATTCCTTGCAACTCAGGGTGAATTCTCTACCCAGACGTTCAGATCTCCTGGATGGATCTGTTCCGGAGAAGGAGGTTGGTGGACCCGTATGGTTGACTTTGTTCTTGAAGAGCTTAAAGACTCGCTCACTCAATCGGGTCTCACAGTTCCGGTGTTAGCTGCACGACGGGGAGTCGTGCAGAGTCTTCATAATTTCTTCGCTATGTTGGAGAAATATAACCCTGACAGCTGCACATTCTTTACGCCTGCTGGAGAGTTAGGTTTTGCTCTTCATGAGATGCAGGCAGTGTCGGGGCTGTCGCTTGGAAAAATGCCCTACGAGGAGTTCATTCCCACCACCGAGGAACTTTCTCTACTGAAGGTGGCGCACCCGGAAATTTGTGCTACTTTCTGGGAGCTGATGTGCCACTTCCACATATGTGCCCAAGTCTTTGGGATGCGTGGAGGGGGCATTATGCATACCACGTGGGCAGACTACCTCTTTCAGAATTTAAACCGGAAAGATGTAGCCGTATCTCGGGTTGCTGTGATCTCTCGTAAGGATGCCAAAGCTCGAATTACAGCTTCCAGTGCTACCTATAAGACAGAGCATGCAGAGGATGATTTTGAAGCTGGTGCCGAGTTTGAAAGTTTTCACTACCAAGCCACAGTTCCTATCTCTGACACGGCTCTGCTTGCAGGCTTCTTCATGATTTGGTTGAAGCGGTGCGTGGTACCGTCAAGACCGATAGAGGCAATATTAGCTGAGGTAGTGTACCCAGCTGTTTTGCTAGTGCATGGGAGACCTGTGAGCCTCCTTACTGCTATGGTTGGCTGTATTCAGAACGGCCTGAGGGTGCTGACTTCAGAACTCCTCAGTGCTTCGAGAGTCAAGGCCGCTAAGAAGAAAGCTGGAAAAGCTCCTCAACCACGTGTACCAGTGCCATACACATATTTAATGGCCTGGTTCGTGTTGCATTGCCCTTCATTAATGACGGGAGTGCATGAAGGGGATGATGCTTATACTCCCTTCGTACAAAGATTGGAGTCGGCCACGTGGACTAGTTCTTATATAGTCAGGGCTCGACAGCTTCTATCCCGAGAGGATAATTACCAGGTTTTCTGCTGTGCTCCTAACTTTGACGGGGCTGATGTTAAGGATGCTCGTTTCATGGATTTGCTTTTTGAAGGCTCGTCTTCTTTGGAAGAGGGTACCTTCAGCTGGCTTCTTATGATCAGGTTGGGCTACCTGGTCTATCGCTCACGGGAGAAGTGCGTAATCGAGCCTTACATGCCTTCTCGGTTCGCGAGACAGTTTGGATATGACCAACTCTATGTTGGCAATCCTAACCCGGCGTTAGCTCAGATTGGGAATTTATACGAAGGAGCTCGCGCATGGTACTTTTTCTCCGCCGGGGGAACCCATGCGCAATTCACTTTACCCAACTCACCGCCCGGCTGCTCTACTATTATGGACTTCCGCCAGTGGTTTGTTGAAGCTTCTCGGATTCCTGAATATGACGTTTATACTTCATGTATAAACGAGATTCGGGAATTGT